AACACTTTGTTTGGTGGTTATATCCATGCCTCTGTTACATGATTAAAAATAAAAATTAATCAATTAAGTAGAGTTGAGTATGAAAAAATTCGTGATGCATTTTACAACTAGTTTTTTTTTTTTTTTTTTAGACTGAAGTTAAATGATTTTACAATTAGTTAACTTTAACTAGTAAAAATAGTCAAAACTTCTTAAGAAATTCCAATTTAACAGTTTGCAATTTGAATTGTTCCTGAAATGTTTTCTTATTGCTGAGAATGAAAGAAAATTTTTATTCCAAAATTCTGAAAAAAGAAAAAAAAAAAGAGAAGAATAATGATACACTCCTAACCGTTTGGTAAACGGTGAAGGCAATTACCTCAGCGAGTCTTGGCCTTGGGTGTTGGCTTGAATTTTGTTCATTTTCCTCCAATTTCCCCCCATCCAAACATCTTCCTCACTCTCCAGTTTTATCATGGCTCAGAAGATATCCCTCCAAACCTTCATCAACTCCCTGAAAACTATCAAAAACCCATATCAACCAATGGTATTCAGAGCCCTACTCGCCGCCCATCCTTCCGATATCTCTGCACTTTCCGATCTCAACCCTACCAATCTCCACGTTATTCTCTCCGACCCAGACCTCAAACCCTCAACTTGCTTGCGTTTCTTTAATCTTGTCCTCAAAAACCGATCTTTCATCTCATTCGAGCCTCATCTCCAATCTTACTCGAACCTAATTTGCAGGCTTCTTAAGGCGAGATTGTTCTCGGATGCAGAGACTTTATTGAAATCTGTATCAATTGATGGAAACCCCAGGTACCCATTTCCTGCTATAGCCTCAGTTGTTGAGAATTACTATCCTGAGCCTAAAATTAGAGCAAAGTTTTTCAATTTGATGCTTAAGGTCTATTCTGATAGTGGGAAATTTGATCAAGTGGCAAAGGTGTTTGATTACATGAAGAAGAAAGGAATTAAGATAGATGAGAGGACTTGTACGGTGCATTTACTTGCTCTTAAGAAATCTGATGAGGTGGGATTGGCTCTGAAATTTCTTTATGGAATGATAGAATCTGGTTTAGAAATTTCTGTATATTCATTGACAGTTGTTATTGATGGATTGTGTAAGAATGGAGAGATAAAGAGGGGTAGAGAGTTGGTGGAGGAAATGGTGGGTTGTGGGGTTAAAGCCAATATAATCACATATAATACACTGATTAATTCCTGTACAAAGAGATGGGATTTTAGAGAACTGGAGTTGATTCTAGCTTTGATGGAAAAGGAACAACAGGAATTCAATATTGACACCTATAATATTTTGATTGAAGGGTTTACAAGCTATGGCAAAGTTGAAGAAGCTGAAAGGCTAGTCGAGGAGATGCATGATAAGGGTTTGAAAGTTACCACGCACATATACAATTTGCTGATGAATGCATATTGTAAAGTAGGATCGATGGATACAGTGGTGGTGTTGTTTGATAGAATGATAAAAAGAAGTGTTAAGTCAAATGCTGATACATATTGGGCTTTGATAAATGGATTTTGTAAAGTTGGAGATCTAAAAATGGCATTGCAATATGTAAATGAGATGCAAAGAAAGGGAATTGAGTTAGATCAGGTTATATTGTGTAGATTGATTGATGGGTTTTGCAAGGGAGGGATGATTGATGAAGCTTTAGAGTTGCATGTTGAGATGCAGAACCAAGGGTTTGGCGTTGATTTATCTTCATGTAACAGAATAGGGGAAGGATTGTGCGAGTCTAATCGGACAAAGGAAGCAAAGCTGCTATTGAGTACGATGGTTAAAATGGGAATAAACCCTGCAATGGCAAACTTCACATCTTCATTTGTCCAATGATGCAAGGAAAAGTTGCTTCTCAGAATTAAGAAGGCAGTGATAAAACTGCTTCATTCTTAATCGTGACAGATGGGAGTACTGCAGTGGGAGCTCTAGACCCTGAGTATGATGATGGAGAACTATGTTGTCCGAAACTGCAAACACCTAATCATGTTTGTTGACCTGCCTTAAAATAAATGATTCCGGATATCACATTTCAGAGCTTATCCAAATCATAGTGCAGAAGCCAATTCACATCTCCCATAAAGAAAGCAAATTTTGTTGGCCATTTGTGAAGCATGTCGTTTCTGCTTCCTGCCACTTCATGTTTCATCATCATCATTATTATTAATAATAATTTTTCAAATCTCTCCTTACTCATCACAAAGTTCGACACTTAATGCTGTATCATAATTAAAGTATTTATACCATTACGTTATGCTATCCTACTAAACTAGAGTCTGAAACACTTAACCACCCTTTTGGGGGCATTATTAGGGATACTTCCACTGCTATTCATTGGATTACTGATGATTGGGTGCATTTGGGATTTGGCAGGGATGTTATGTTTATACTTTGGCTTTCTGAATTAATATACTCCCTTTGTTCCAATCAATAGTAATACTTTGTTTACTTTCTTTTGAACCAAATGATAATAATTGGAAAATAATATAAAATAAAAATCACATTATAAATTAAGAAATCTCTGCTGGTCAAGTGACCGGAATAACAACTCTATACGGAGGAAGTAGAGGGAAGGGATAAAGGATGCAACCTCTAATTCCATAGCCACACAGAGAGAAAAGCAGAAAAGAGTAGGAAAAACAAAATTGTTTGACTAATGGCTACCTCTGAGGAGCTCCAGAAAGAATTGGATCGTTGATCACTGTCCCATGATCGTTGATAACCATGTCATGCTTCCCCATGGCTGGAATGCTGAGGGAGCGTTTTCTTATTTTAGCATTGCCAAGAGGTGGCAACCTCCTCTCTTTCTTTTCCCTAAGCAGCGTAGAGTAAGAGCGTAGCAGTTCTGGCAATTTCTCACTTCTGGTTTTCAGGAAGATGTCTAAATTACGGTTATATTTATCCCCTTTCATAAGGGTTGTTTCGTCCCCAGAAACTGGCACCACCTTATCCCGAGCCTCTTCGTCGTCTTCCGTCCAATAGCCATTCTCCTCAACGTCCAGCATTGCCAGATCATCATACTCTTCATCTGACTTTGTAGACTCTTCATCAACTGAGCCAATCTGTGTAGCAGAAAACAATAACATTTTATCCCACTGCACTTGTTCTGAAAAAACTGACAATACTAATATTTTGAAAGTAATACTGTAATATATCCCACTGCACTTGTAGAGAAATTTGATCAAATTTAGGACTAACCCAAAGCTAAGATTAAGAAATTAGGAATTTTTTGGCAATATAACAAAAACAGAAGAGAAGTGAAGAAATCTAAAAATGTTAATCATATTTAGTCTAATTTAAAGAAAATATTTTCTCTAGTATAATTAGTTAATTAATGTCAAGCTGGGATTTGACCTCTTCATCAAGAAGTTTATCATTGTCATCACTGAGATCCTCATCACTCTCTACATCAGGTTGATCATCAACTTCTTCATCACTGCCATGGACTGACTGTTCCTCCTTAAGCTGAAAAACAAAGATGTTTGTCAATAGCCATTAATCCTGGCAAGTGAAAACAAATGTGAAAAGGTAACAGGAAGAAAAAACACTGAAAAAACCCAGCATAGTTAAATAAAGTTTGATGACCAAAGAAATAGCTTACTAAAGTTTGAACCCATCCACCCCATAAAAGAAAAAACCTATCATATGTGGCAACAGTACGCCTTGACTTCCATCCCATGTTCTATTAACTTACCTATTTCATATATAACTCAATTACTTACTACTCAAATGAGAGAATGTTTGAATAGATTAAGTACCTCCTTTGCATGCCCCTCAGATGTTCTTGGTGAGCTGCAGCAAGAAGAGTAATATCTGCTGCCAGTATCAGTCGTCCCCTCACCCCTTGATTCATCAACACTTCCAGCATGACTAGTGCCACCATCACTAGGCCAGGCACTAATTCCAAATAGACCAAATGGAAGATTAACGGGTTCTGCCTTGCCAATCTTCAAAGGTCCATACATAGGATTACCTTTTCCACCCTCAGTCCCATTGCTCAAGATAGGACGTCCATTAATATATTGTGAATCAACTGGCCAAGCTTTTGCTACAGTTCCATCAGTATTAAGAAGAGCCATCAGATGCCTAGAAGAACCTTTCCTCTGGATCAGCTGAAACATTCCCTTTGAGCTCAATGAATTGGCAACACACTGGTTCCTGTACTCCTCATCAACCAAACCAACTGTATTTGTTGTAGGATCATAAAGCTGTTCTCCAGCGTCACGCCTACGAAGGCAACTAAAAACTGTAGCATGAATGGCTGCCACACTCTTGTCAACATTTGTATTGTTTATCTTCGGGACCAAATGCTTATCTGCACGTTTGCAGAGATATTCTTGTATAGTTCTGATGTTTTTTATATACTTCACATATTTATTTTTGGCAGGGTCCAGTGTCATGTACTTTGCACGAACTGCAAACCGCTCTAGGTGTTTGTCTTCATTTGTTATGTATATCATAAATGGTATAATTGAAGGATGTTTCTTCATAAGCCCCATCTGCAATCCATAATTAAAATCAAGAGAATGATCAGAAAAAAGAGTTACTTTACCATTTGAAAGCTAAAGTCACTAGGTGCAGATTGCCATGAACCAGGGAGATTTACTTACAACAAAATTAAGGCTTAAGTGAACACCCTCAACAACTACTGACTCTTTCCTCTCTTCCCATGATGTAATCAGCCTGTCAAGACTGTCAATAACCATCTCACTTTGTGCCTTGAATCCTTCAATAGCCATCTGTTTAGGACTAATCAGTTCACTGTTACTAGAACCATTCTCTGCTGCTTGGGCATCAGGATTCCCAGATTCAGAACCACCAGCAACTTCACCCTTAGGAAGTAATTTTGCAATCCCTGCCAATTTTTTGGCTTTTCTTTTACTCTTGGCTTCAGCAACTGCTACAGGATCCAAACACTCCCCTGCATGATAGGTAGAGGACCAAAGAAGAGGATTTTCCTTCTCATCCACAAAACTCCTCATCATGTGCCGGATAGAGTCAGTTGATATCACAGTCGTAATTCCCAACCTGCTACCCTGGATGACAATATGGTTAAGATCATTTATTACAGGAATGCAGCTGCAGAAAGTAATTTACATAATCAACCCTTGTCATCACATGAAAAAAATATTTACACTCAATTTTTACTTCCTAAAGAAAAGCATCAATTAGCAAGGATACCAGCAAAGCAGATAATGTAGATTTGCCACAGCCACTGGTACCGCACAGCAGCACAGTTACAGATTCTTTCCTCTCTCGGATTCTGCAACAAAAAAAATATGTATGGTTAAAAGGGAGAAGATAAGAAAGATCTTGCATCCACCCTAAATAACCTCAAAAGATGAGTTCCAAGGGAAATAATATTGAGACAACTATCTTGATACCAACATCAACACCCATATTTATCTTTATTAGGTGATAATACCAGTATAAAAGAACATTAACAATGAAATTTGATATCAAAAAAAGAACATATAGGATGCATATTCACTGCAGCTACAGTACTAAACTAATGATAGAAACTAACGGATGAAACTTCATTGAACAGAAGATTTCTCAATATTCAAGGGAGGAAAAACAAACTCTAGTAGTTCCAATAGTGTTGCCCATAGTTTCTTGAAAATTTCAAACACAAGTTCAAAATGGTGTGAATCAAATACTTACTTACAAACATGTGTACACACAACTTTTCTTGCACTGCATTACTCTTGTCCCATTCATAAATTCAATGCAAAAAATACAGCGCACAGAATCTAATGTGAATGCATGCATAAACAAGCAACTACAACAAAATGATAACAACAGTCACATCTAGAAAAACCCAACAAAGGTACCTTAAAAAAGGAACACTTATGGATTCCACTTCACCAAAGATTAGTAACTACAGATAAAAATATTTTCAGTAGGCATTGGACATGACATAATACCTGCATGCCAAAATCAAGTCTGCCCTTTGGTTATGACCGATATACTTATATTCAGCCAGTGCATCACATACAACATCTAAAAAGGCTTCTCTTTTGACAACTACAGTCGTGCGTCTTTTGTTCAACTCAGACGGTATATTCTTACTTTTGTCATCTTTCTCTGAAACCAAATGGTTGCCCATATGTGAGTTTGCACCAGCAAAATAACCATCTTCCTTCTCAGAGTTTCCTCTCAAAACATCAGAACCTATTGTCTCTTTATATTCTTGAGGTTGAGTGTTGCAAGAAGATTCGCTTTTAATCAACTCAAAAACCCTTTGACTAATCTGATCAGGGTGGAAAGACAATACTCAGCAAAAGCCAAAAGGGCAAATATATACAAAGGAAATGTGAAAGGAAAATATACATATATTGAGAAAAGAAACAGCATCTAGCCACCAGCAACTAAAGCTGTAAACAAATAACCCACCTAAATTAAAAAGAAATAGCATGTGAAAACTTGAGAAGAATAGGTTATGATTTAGGGACAAACTTTACTTATAACTTCTCTTTACAACTTACACATGTTATTAAATGAGTGTATGCATTCAATATTGAAAGTCTTGGTCAAGTGAAATGAGATGTGGATTTGTAAGCAAAAGTTGTACATAAAAATTTTCCCCATTTAATTTTCCGTGAAGAACACAAGAATACATGATAAGTTGAATTTCTAAAGCAATCACTGTCAACACAACACAGTTTCTATAAATAGAAAAAAACATAAATGATCTATAAAGAAAAATGGGCATGGCTTCAAGTATTAATATATCCCCAAATATTCATTCATTCATTCATTCAAAACAGTACTTAAAATATAGTAGTCAACTAACTCAATAAGAATACAGTTGCCCTGAAACCAAGACTAGCTAAAATTTGAATTGTATGATGATGATTCATATAAAATTTAGCCAGCAATTTGAACACAGCCGCCCTGAAAAACTAGTACTTTCCTATTGAATAAACGCATCCCAGGGAAGAATTTTCAAGGATCTCATATTCTCATATCTAAAAAGATTCATCCCAATTCCACGAAAATGACATCATTCTCCATGATTTGACAAGATAATTCAATTTAGATGGCAGAGAGCAAAAGCAGCTAATAAGACATAAAATTATTATGGCCTCACCAGACAGATAAAATGATTTAAATCGGAGAATTTTTCCCAACAAGTTGCAATCTAGATCTAATTCTAATAGTTAAAAACAAAATCAACACCAATGCTCCATCAACCAAGATTTTCAAATTTAAAAAGGAAAAAACAAGGATTGGTGCCGATCAACTAAAAAAACTCTAGGAAATTCAACCAAATTGACGCCGAAAAGAAAGACAGAAAAAAAAAAAGGTAACAAATTCAAAATTCCGGCGCCAAACATGGATACCTTGAAAGCATGCCTCGCTTTGCAGCCCATGAGTTGGAGAGTGCTCTGCAAAACGGGACGCGTGTACCGGAAAGACGACGTTTCCCTCTCCTCATCCTTCCCTCCGTCCACCACCACTATATACGACACCTTCGCAGAGTCCGCCATCTCCCTGCACGAAAACAAGGAAAAGAATTCCAAAATTACATTTAAAACATCAAAACATGAAACACCAAAGCAAACTCGAAAACGCAAGAAACCGAGACAATGCGGGGATTGCCACAGCAAAGAATCGAACCTAGAGATATTTTAGTTCACCAGAAACGAGGAAAAAAACAGAAGTTACCGCGTAAAGGAGGATCACCGCCAAAAAATTGCTACAGAGAAAGGCTAGGGTTTCCTGTTACGATGAATAGACTAAGCACCATTTGAATAGCGGAAGGGAAACGATGAGATCTCGCCATTTCCTCTCTGTTGCGTTCCACGCATCACGCGAACAGAGCTTCCACGAGTCCCACTGTTCGTTTCTTGCGAAAAAAAAAAATTTTTTTTCTTTTTAAAGGGAAAAAAAAAAACCGCCACAGACGAAATCTCTATAGACTCTGGAAATGACAGATGTCGCCTCGACTTGGGTGAACCTAAGGGGTAGGGATAGGGCTGTTTATATAAGAAAGGGAGTGTTGTTGGTGGCATGCGAAGTAAAATTAGGAATGATCGAGGGTGGACGATTTTGGACGTTGTTAGTGTGTAATATGAAAATAAGGAGAGGCACAGAGAAAAGGATTTCACGAGATATATTTATTCTTCTGATATTTTTGATTTGGTACGGCGTGCGGCGTCGATGCAATTCTATTCTATTTAAATGGAATTTGGAAGAATATTGGTCAAGGTAATTGGTAGTAATTGGACACGTAATTCCTTTTGGTTTCTTGTCTACTAATCGTGTTCTTCCTTCTTTTTGGCTGACGTCTAATTTTGTTCGAGAATATAATTGGCCAAGATTACAAATTTTAGGAAAATTTTTTTATTAATTTTTTATATTTAAAAATCTCATTAAATATTAATTAATTTAAAATCCAAGTATGTTGAGTCCCATAAAAAAAACTCTTTCAATTGTTTCTTTATTTATAATAGTTGAATTCATGATTTTATTTAAAAAAATTAATTTTTTTTACTAAAATCAATAAATTATTTATAAATTTTATGAATTTTTTTTATTTTGTTATTTAAAAATAAATTTATAAGATTAATGCATGTCAGTTCTAGATGGTTAAAAATAATTGGAATCTTAACTTATATCTAAAAGCCAAAATATCATTTTATTAAATGTTAATATTTAAATTTGGAAAACCTATTATATATTCTAATATATTAACATTTAACCAAATAATTTTTAAATTTTGAGTTGAATTTTAATTAGGGAAATGATTTTGGAATAATTTTTTTGTCCCACCTTTTATACAACTTGATTTGTCATTTACATAATTGATTTTTTTTATATGGGTCTCATAATATTGAATGCATTTATTTATTTAATAACATGTAAAAATTGTATAAAATAATTATTCATATAGCACTACCTATAAAATTACGTAATTTAAGGATATAACTTTAATTATTTTTGAGAGTAAGATGATGCACTTTTCTCTAAATTTATTATTTTTATTTAAATATACGAAAAAAATTTCTAATATTAATTATTTTGATTAAGATTATTATTTGTCATGATATTATCATCATTTTATAAATTTTTAAATATAAAAACTTAAAATTTTGTATCTTTATTTTAAAAAATAAAAATCTATTATCTAATTTAAAATTTTATATCCTTAATTAAAAAAATTTATATCATTACCTATGCCTTTTCTCAATTATGTTATTCTTCTATAAGGAAAAAATTTTTACGGCCCAATGGAAATAAATGAATATATATATTTGTTTAATGAATGAGATTTTTCTTCCATTTTAAATGATCAGAATAAATTCGTTGTCATTAATCAATTAGTATGAAATAGGAAATGTAGTTTAAATTTTAAAATTGCTGATTTGGGGTCATCATTGTTGTTGAGATTTTTGGTGGGGCTATAGGATATAGATTATTGTCCTACAATGGGCAATTGTTTATTACCTGAATCAATTTTTACTTTGTCAATCACACATTGATATAATGATTACAGATATGATGAGTGCTTGTGAAATCCTAAATTGTAATACATTATTCTTGCATAAATTTAGGAATTAAATAGTAACAAAAAGTATATATATATTTATGGTTAATATTTATCCGTTTTATCTCTAAAAAATAAATAAATAAACACCTTAATTTATGCTTTAAAAATAAAATATTTTAATTTTTTTAATAGGTGTTTGTTAAAATTATATTGTTTTACAATAATATTTTTTATAATTTTTAAAAAAT